AGGTTTAATACCGCAATGGGGCCCGAATACTTCAGGGTGATTCATGATAAACAGGTCAGGGTTTGCAGAATATGTATCCAGCCAGGGCACATCCTTAAGGACTGCCCAGATTTCCTCTGCCATTCCTGCGGGCAGCAGGGACACTACGCGAGAGAATGTTCGGGGAAAAGAAATGAGGATAAATGTGCAATATGTTCCTTCACAATGGCTAATTGCATCTGTGAGGCTACTGAGGCTGAGAGAGAGGACTCTGTGTTTGTGAATGACGAGCTGAGCTCTGAAGGAGGAAGCGGGGGCGAAAATGAAATGGAAGAGGGGACAAGTTTGGAAAAAAAGTGTGCAGGACATCTCAGGCTATCATGGACCTGACAATGAGAGCACGGGTGAGGAAATATCCGACATGACCGGAGACCACCCACTGGAAACACACGTGTCCATGGCGGGCTCTGCAGAAGAGACTGTAGAGGGTGAACTTCAAGGTTCTGATGGGGTACGGGAGGGAGAGAGGCGGGATGAGTGTGTCGCCTCTTCTTCCCCTGGGACCACAGACCTCACCTCTCTAGGCCAGGACGGACCCTCTCAGCAGCACCTGCAGTCCTGTCAGGTCCCCTCTTCAGCTCAGCACCTCCAACCAGACTCAAACTCTGATCCAGACATGGAAGCTGAACTCTCAACTATCATAGCAAATAGGAAAAGAACAGTTTCTTTAGAACAGAAGAAAAACGACATGAACTCATTTGTTGTGCACACATCACAATGGGTCTTCTTCCCTTGCTTAATGCCCGTGGGCTCCGCAGGGAGGAAAAGGTAAGGGCAGTCATTGATCAAAACACTTTAAATATTCTCTGTCTGCAGGAGACAAAATGGGACGAGAGTAAGGGGGAAGCTATGGCGGTGGAGTGGAGGGGAGACATGTTCTGCTCAACATCAGAGAATGGCACAGCAGGGGTGGCGGTCCTATTTCAAGAGGGTTTTGCACAGAGCAGTACATTAATACATAAAGATAAAGAAGGCAGATTGATTATTGTTGACTTTATACATGACAATAAATCATACAGAATCATCAACATACACGCACCTAACATAGACACACAAAGGAAAATCTTCCTCCTTAATATCAGAAAATGGGTGACAAGCAACACTATAGTCATTGGAGATTTTAATGTTGCTCTCTCAAGGTCAGATC